AGCACCGGTTCAGGTCGAGTTTAGACCGTATTGGACCAGGCTTCAATTTGATGCGGCCTGAACTGGACCTGAACCGGTGCAGTTGAGCCAGTGATGTGCCAGATCATCACTTCTCTTCCATTTATCCATCTCTTTTTGACTTTTCCTATTGCTGAGGTTCGTTCAAGAGTTAGGTTGCCAAAGGGAAAATTTCCTCAAAGACTCCTTTAGAATACTACCTCGTCATATTTTACCCAAAGGATGATTAGCACTGATTTCTTCGAACTCTACTGAGTTCCTTACCACTTTTCGTATTTTTGTGACATAGAGATATTTGAAGATCAGAAACAATGGCAAGTTTTGGAAACTGTACAGACTTTATTCCTTGAAATTTATTCGCCACCTATTTACCATTTATTTTCCATCAAGCGGAAACGCGTTGATTGCTCTATCAACTAATGAGTTCACCACCGTGACCGGGTAGCGCTGTGAACACTTGTCTACATTTTTGTACTAATTAAAGCTGGACTGTAGCAAAAGTTTACAAATCGGTTGCATCAGCAAAAATGGGGCTAAGTTCTTTCAATTAGTGCAGGAGAAAGACAGGAAAAGAATGTAATCATTTCAGACCGTAAGGAAGCGCTAACTCGTTAGTAAATACCTGTAGCCAGTGACTCCTGAAAATCCTCCCCCATTCATATATGATAAAACGAATGATCAGAGGAAGAGATTGGTATGTGTTGTTAAAAGGATAAGGATCGGAGGTTCAAAGAATATTGCTAGTATGGTTCAACTTACGCATCACTCTTCACTAAAGAGTTCTGGAGTGGTGAAATGGGATTCAGTGAAGTACGATCTTGATCTGAGGGAGTGAGAGAGTGTTTGAGGTTAATGGATACTGCTGAGGGTGCTTATTACTCATACCCACTCCACCGATGAGCCCCAAGGTTTTGAAATGGAAGTAGTAAAGTGCAATGGTTCGTATGATTAGAGCTGAAGCGGGCCATTCTGTGCTCTCCCTGATGGCTCGTTAGCATATTTCTCCCAAATGTTGGTATTTTACTGTGCTTTCGCTGCTATAATTTTACTTGTGCGATTTGCGCAAGGAATAAGATGAAAAAATAAAACTCTCTCTATGATTTTTTCGAGCTAAGTTGATGTATGTGCATCGGTGTGGAGGTCCAAAGCCGGACCGGTTTTTGCTCAGGCCAACCAAGCCTCCTATCCTTCAGGAACGATGATTTGGTACCAAACTTGCCTGCAAGGGTACTGAGATCCATTTCCCACGTCAGCCGGCTCCCCATTTTCTTTGCTTGGGTCATATCGCTTCACTACTCCACGATTCTGAATAGAAGAAGAATGCGTGGCACTTTCTAAAGTAGGACTGTTTAACACGGGTTGTATAGTTGTTTTTGTAGTGAACGGGACTGGCAAGGCAAGACCGGAGAAAGCCATTTTCAAAAGGACAACCCTGAAAAAGGTTGTGCTAGTGAGCACATACTGCGAGAGCAGTCCATCATATTGTTCATCAACCTAGCACGACCCCCTCCTCAGAATTTCCTCCTCTGGACTACAGCTACCCCCTCCCCCCTCCTCCATCCTACATTCTGCGTTTCCACCAGTTTTCAGGGGGAAGTACTATATATAGCGCACTTGAAATGAAAAAAAAACGAGTGGAGCCAACAACTATTCTGAAAGGCAAATACGACCCCCTTCCATTCAGTGATCAAACACGATTGCCCCCCTCCCCCCTCGCTGGTGATTACCAACGTGTGACGCAACCTGTTCATCTAGGTACTCCACCATTGAAATGTCAGCGATCAATGGTCATTGCCTTTGTTTCCTATCGACTATCTTACCTGTGAATCAGAAACCGGTACCAGTAACTTTTGTTCACTACTTTATCTATACTTCTTTTGATTTTCAACCATCATCATAAACATCTTATTATTTGAAAAATGTCAGTCTCAGTTAGGACAGAAGGTCATCGCCAGTTGTACGATGAGTGTTGATTGTCGCTAGCGATAAGCCTATGGTTCGTTTTTCTTCGTGAGAAGTACGTGGTCGTTTGTTTATAAGCATCTGTTGGTCGATGATTGCTCTCACTGATCCTGGTGATCCCGAGTTCTGCTGGGCCGCTAATCCTGTCAGCTACTTGACCCAGTTCGGGCTATCTGCTTCTTCTTTCTTGAATCATCGCCATTGAACACAAATGTTTCTCGACGTTTGAACCCATAGTCGTTCATTGAATGATTCAACGTTTTTCCAGATGTTGGCCTTGAAGTGGTTATGCTGATTGTAAGAAGTGTGCTGACCTTGGCTCTAGCCATCGTCTTTGAGGCAAATGAGTTACGAGGTCGGTGTTTTCTTAATAGTTGTAAAATAATTTCCACTTTGCCGTCGGAAAGCACCTCGCTAATTTCTAGAACAATCCGATACCTTTCGCGGCTTTTCTCTTTCATAGCGCGAATCGGCGAACCATTGAGGGTTGTGACCATGTTTACACAGTCAACACCCATGCTTCGTACATAGGGAACAGGGGGGTTGGGCTAATGGGAAGCGCTTCAAAACCACGGGACACATTTCTGTCCAATACATTGCGCTACAGGACTGAGAAAACCTTAAAGGCAGTTGGCACGATAATTTGGTACTCGGCCTAAAATGCTAGCAGGGCGCTATATGTATGATGGGGAAAATGGCGAAAAACGAAATGGAACGGTCAAAAAACTTGCGAAAGAAGGCTTCGTTTAATTTTTTCTTACTCAGAAAGCAATCTCGGACGAGTTTACATCGCGTAAGCGTGCCAATAAATGCTACCGTAGGTACGGCTGGCACGATGTAACTCAATATATCATGGAAGCACCGAGCTGCCTTCATAAAACGATCCCTTCGCTTCATATTTTACGTAAAAAGTGAAGGCGATAGAGCATCAGGTGCAGCCGTCCGTTTGTGGGCAAAAAAGCGCTAAAGCTCAGGGTCGCGGAATTTTATCCTGCTAGGCGGTATTAATCGTCGTCTTACCGGACCTGTGCCGACTGCCTTTTCAAAAGAAGCCCGCAAATAACCATTTGACCGTGCTCATTAAACTTCAGTCTAAGAAACCAACAAGAGTACACCCATGTTCACTTTAAACATTTTAATTCTGTACAAACCAAACCGTAAGGAAAATTTTCCATCCCAAAGATTCTGCGTAGTAAAGGAACAAAGTAAACAAAAATGTAACATTTTTTCACAGTTCTGTGCGACTTTTGCTGATTTTCCGTAGAGTTATGGTTGGTACAGAACAATTATGCTAAGAAATACATGGTTGGCTCTTGTTGTTGTTGTTAGCAGCGTTAGTAAGTCGATGCAGCAGACAGGGTACAGCATCGTATGGGTGAAATGGTGGTGTCAGTACGACCCCCGCCCCTCTCGAGGAAGGGACTTGGTACGACCCCCTCCTCTTCCCAATAACCTACTTAGGATATCCCCACAATTTCCACTTTTCCACTCAAAGGTTTTCCGTCAAGCTGGGGGAGGAGTATCAGGAAAATTTCTCAGATTACCCTCATCGTTCTGTGCTTTTTGTGATTTCCCGGAAAAACTTTTTCGTTACTTTTCCCAAAACGTCTGCTTTCAAGCCGGCGGGGGGGGGGGAATGGGGTGGAAAATCACGGCAAATGTCAACAACCGGAAAATTTCTTCCCAGCGGCGGCAGATTTTTCTCAAAGCGCAGCATAACAACAGTCCCCCCTCTCCAGCGACGAACAGACCAAGATCCTCACCTCAGCGAAAAGTAGGAATTTTTCATACGTAATTCTCTCAGCGATGATGCTGTACCCTGACAGAAGAAGGTAAATATGGAGACTGGGGAATGTTTGGACTTCCCAAATTTTGCTTTTGCGCTCTATGTAGTATGGAAATGTCTGGTCTAAGTCCCAGGAATTCCAGAAAGCTCATCTAAGGAACTATGCCCTGCACGGAATCGGTTTCCTAAAGTCGCGGGACTGTTGGAGGTGGAATGCGAGCCGCTGAGGGGCAAGTGATTGGCAGCATCCTTCAAGCCTTGCCGTAAACGGGAGTCTGTGCCGCCGTAGTCTGTGCCTTTCAGCCTGCAAGCCTAAGTCACTGCAAGCCTAAGTCGTGTAGAAGAGTGGGTAAAAGCTTACCGATCAGAATTAAGTAAGAATTATATATTTATACTTCAAATGGCACCTAATAACTTGGGGGGGGTTCTATATCAACCGAAGGAATCGGGCGTAAAGAACTGGTACTTCAACTGAGAGAGCAATTGGTCCACACCTGTAGAAGTCGCAGTTGGAGGCTGTGAGAAGCACCGTTCATGCTGATCATAGAGGGGCTAAGGCCCATTACCCTTAGCAGATCCCCCTTGTTGATCGCCTTTGAATGGAAGGGGCGCCAATGAAGAGAGAGAGCACAGTGGTAGTAGTAACTCTGGCCTGACTCTGTCAGCGTGGCCGTTCTTTAAAGAAGAGCGTCCAGTGTTGAATATCAAATAATGTGCGTAGCTACAATAGTGATAGCTAGTTGTAAGCGCTTACTGGTAAGCACCGTATACTGTAAGTTAGTTGAAACTCTACCGTATAAGGGGGTTAGGCTCTGATAAGCCCTTTGCTGCGTTTTTATCTTATCACATTTATTCAAGCCCATCATAATCGCACGTAATTAACTTTACGTAAGTTACGGACTTTTTGACTGAAACGCCAAAGTATCCAGATTGTCCGGGGGGGTCCAGAAGGGGTCCACCTGCACCTCCAGTTGCCACCGATTTGATGACACCACCACCACCACCACCACCGCCTCCACCGGGGGCAGAAAAGTAGGCTGATTGAGCTGCTGGAACTGAACCTGCAGCTTCCGTGTAGACAGAGGCACCTGGTGGCTGAGCTCCACCGGCAGCAGGATCATTGCAGATGCTCCACCAGCAGGAGCTCCTGCAGCGGTCATAGCAGAAGGTCCTCCCGCAGGTGCTCCTCCCAGGGCGGTCATTGTTGATGCAGGCTTCATTGCTGTCATAGTTGATGCTGCACCAGGAGGCGCAACAGCAGTCATGGCAGAAGAAGCGCCTGCACGCAGGGACTGCAGTCATTGTTGAAGCTCCTGCAGGTATCTTGCCTCCTAGGGGCGGTCACTGTTGAACAGATCTCATGGTCGAGGCTCCACCAGGAGGGGCAACAACAGCAGTCAAGGCAGAAGAAGCGCCTGCACCAGGGCTGCTGTCATTGTTGAAGCTCCTGCAGGTACTCTTCCTAGGGCAGTCATTGTTGAAGCAAGTTTTATAGGCCTCATTATAGCTTTTTATTCAAATAATGTAAGTGTAGATTGGGTATCTAACAACCAGCTAATGACGCGACGACTTCTTCATAAACGCGTTTTAGTCGAAGTTCTGCTAACCGCAGTCGATAAGAAAAGCCACTCGGTTCCGTCGACGTTCCTTGAGAACCCATTCACAAGGTTTTTGGCTGCTTTGATGGAACCTGAATCACTTGCGAAAAGCGCTATCATCAATTATGTCTAGCACGGAAATGAATTCCAACAAAGGAATGTATCGCTTAATTCAAAAATATATTTTCAGCAGTCGCGAACCCAGTTTCCGGTAAAAGTACTCATGGCGAGAAGGTGAGCTCATTCATTCATAATGGAAACTGAAATGAAACAGGAAATTTTAGCAGGATAAATCCGAATTTGAGATCAAGAAAGATCAGCGATTGCCTGATTCTCAGCTGACAGTTCAAATACCCCGTGAACATCCCTCCTACGATCAATTCATCGCCAAAGTTGTCGACGTTTCTCCATCGATGTGAGTGAGACTTGGCATTTCAGTGACAGACTCGAATGTTCTATTTTTTCACCCTCATAATTTTCAGAGATCCATCAATTCGAGACGTGAACAGGACATTCTTGGCCTCGCTAGATAGCTCCGGCACCATTAGAATTCACACACTTCAACCGGGTCATAAATACAGGTAAGATGGGTTTTGACAGCAGACTGCTCATACAGACCCTCTTCTTACTCGTCCCGCGCGGACTTTCTTATTCTCGTCCAGTGAAGAACTAGCAAGAACGTTTTATTTACGCTTTTGTTTGTTTTTTGTTAACCTACGGCTTTTTTGGATACTTCTGCTATGTTGTGACAGTTATCATCGATTATCTCTGCCAAGATTGTCAGTATTACTGCCACAAGATTTCTGATTTCTATTATAGAAGTATGGCTGGCACAGTATGCGCCTGACGTGATAAAGCAGTGCTATGCGATTTACTTCAGTGAATGACGATTGATGCCAATTTCTACCGATAGTCGATAGTGAAAAACAATAAGAGAGAGTGGGAGCTATCAAAAACCGCAAAAGAAGGAATGTCGGCCGGGTCTCATTGTCGCATACATCAAGCGGGGGCTCTTACAGAACGTAGCCCCGACCGCTTATCCTCCCACTGTACCATTGACCTCGATGACCTCTAGCAGTCCTACAGTTTAAAGCAATATGGCTCTCCTAGAATACCATTTTTGTCCAGAACACAGTAAGAAGCTTAACCCTCAATTTTTTTGATTGGAGATATTTTGATTTTTTTCTCGCACTATATGCCCCCCCCGCTCGACAGTAAAGGATTGAGTTATTGAGTTCACTATACACTTAGCCTGCAATACCCAATACTTAGAAGTATAGTGGTAAGGAATGAAGTGAAGGTAACCCCTTATCTATTCTTATCAACTGTTATAATCGCCTGTCACCTGTCACCAATGTCCCAATGTCCATATTATTTACCCTTTAGTGAACAACTCAGAACCTTGAGGAAGAATGACGGCGGCAATGCTTTTATCAGCCCCTATCAGTTGCTATCCCTCTCTGCCACCCGTCAGTAATATCCCCGTCACATCCCCTATATCACCTGTTGGAACCAACTTCCCACTGTTACTGTGACGGGCGCCATGAATCAGGCGACGTTTGGTTCTAATCCCTCTTATCGGATCTTATCAGTACCTGTCACTTTCTGTCACCCACC